TAACCAGTGAACAGAAGCCTCTCTTCACAGAAGTGGTCTAGTAATACATTGTAACAGCTAAAGATGGAATGTGTCCAGGACATGACCATTAATGAGAGAGAGAGAGAGAGAACCATGTTATGTTATATCCCCCAGACTGCAGTCAGCGAAACCCATTGAGATATTTAGCAATAGGAAATTCTTATTAATTTTAGATCACTGAAAATAAGAATCCCTGTCTTTTACAAATACATACAGAAGGGCCGGTGCGGTGATGCAGTGGGTTAAAGCGCTGGCCTAACGTGCCAGCATCCCATATGGACACCGGTTCTAGTCCTGGCTGTTCCACTTCCGATCCCGCTCTCTGCTATGGCCTGGGAAAGCAGTAGAAGACGACCCAAGTCCTTGGGGCCCTGCACCTGCGTGGGAGACCCAGAAGAAGCTCCTGGCTCCTGACTTCGGATTGGTGCAGCTCCAGCTGTTGCGGCCATCTGGGGGGTGAACCAGGGGATGGAAGACTCTCTCTGTCTCTATCTCTCTCTGTAACTCATATAAATAAAATAAATCTTTAAAAAAAACACATACATACATACAAGTTCTTCCATCTGTTGGTTCACTCCCCAAATGCCCGCAATAGCCAGGGCTTGCACAGCCTGAAGCCCAGAGCCAGGAACTCCATCCAGGTCTCCCATGTGGGTGTCAGAGACCCAACCACTTGAACAATCATGTGCTACCTTCCAGGGTCTGCATTAGTGGGAAGACAGCCTCGGGAGTGGAGCTGGGATTCAAAGCCAGGCACTCTGCTATAGGTTGTAGGTGTCTCAATAGATACCTTTACTGCTAGGCCAAATGCACACCCCTATCTGACAGTCCAATCCCTGAGCCCTCTGGGCGTCAGCTTGCTTCCCTGCCATCCCCTCCTCCAGCTGTGCCCTCTGCTAAGTCATGACGATGGCTCCACCTTCCACTGTCCTGAACAGGTTTAATCTCATCTCCTCTTCTGTTCTGTCATGTGCACCTTTTAAAATCCTTCGATATTTCTCAAGGGTGCAGTGAAGGTGTGGAGATAGACACATATGACCATTGTAGCACATGTGTGCTTTAGATGAGGGCTGCCCCAGTAATTCCAGGCTGGTGATGGGGCAACTGCATGGCCGTGGGCCATGGGAGATGGCTGGCGACTCAGCCAGGGGCCTGGTCTGTCCTGGGCACTCAGCTCCTCCCCCAGACACTTGGCATCAAAAGATGCTGGCTGCGCCGTAATGCAGCTTCTGCACACTGAGCCCCCCACCTAGCAGAGCCAGGTTCGAACTTGGGCGAGGTAGACAGAAGCTGGAAGGGAGCTCGGGGATCGCCTTCAGTGTCTGCCCAGGCGCAGACAAAGCCCCACTATGGTCATGATTTTTGCACCTGCAGGGTGTCTGGCAACCCTAGGCCATTGATCTGTTGCTATCAGGCTTCCAGCCGTGTCCCTCCCTGGAAGTGCTCTGGCCAAGGTCACTCCTGAGCTCCTAATGGCCAAATCCAAGACCACTCATCTCGCCAGTGCTCTCCGAAGCTCCCAGTGCTGTTGGTCACTGGCCTCCTTTTCTCTCCCAAGACCAGTCTATGAAGCTACACTGAATAACTGTGGAGGGTGGGCTGTCCCTTGTTCCCTGCCCCCATGCCCTCACTCTCACCCCTCCCCACCCCCTGCCCCAGCTGCTCTCTTCCTTTCAGTGCTTAGAGAATTTGGGAAGGAGCTGGCTGTTTCTATTTTCCTTAGGGAATAGTAGTTTACATAAATTGTTTAATAGGGATTAGGTACTTAGAAGTCCCTTTAATAGACACTAGTTTGCATAAACTGTTTGCATTTAGCGGTTCCTTTAAGGAACATTAATTATTGAAATCATCAATAAAGCACTGAGTCTGAAGTTTGCTTAAATCATACCCTGGAGCCAAACGGGAGGATGAGTCTGGCAGCGCAATAGAGAGAGACCAGGAGGCCGGTGGGGGCCTCGGCCCTCCCTGCCTCCCCCCGGCAGAGCGGTACAGTTCATCGCCTGGGTGCTGGGAGCCACTGTGACAGCGCACACTGAGGACAGCAAGCTTACAAGCAGGGACCCAAAGCCCCCAGCTGGGCAAAGGCAAGGCACTCAGTGAAGCTGGGCTTTTGCCACGAAGTCAGGGCCTCTTCACCCCAAAGATGGGAGCCCCACACTAAACTCCGGCAGCCTCGTGGAGGGGCCACCCACAGCCGGCCCCAGACAAGTCCTCACCCCTCAAGTGGGAATGTGGACATGAAACGGGCTTCTGCGTTTCCCAGGTTATGCCATACACATGACCTATTACCTGTGCACCAGCTGTCACAGGCCTGGGGAGGCTCAATGCACGGAAGGCCTTCTTGGCAGGCTAGCGTGGTGGGTCTACCCAGCTCTGTTTAGCTGCACAATGGGACCACCTGGAAGCTTTTTTTTTTTTTACAAGCAGAGTGTACAGTGAGAGAGAGAGATGGAGAGAAAGGTCTTCCTTTTGCTGTTGGTTCACCCTCCAATGGCCACCGCGGCCGGCGCACCGCGCTGATCTGATGGCAGGAGCCAGGTGCTTATCCTGGTCTCCCATGGGGTGCAGGGCCCAAGCACTTGGGCCATCCTCCACTGCACTCCCTGGCCACAGCAGAGAGCTGGCCTGGAAGAGGGGCAACCGGGACAGAATCCAGCACCCCAACCAGGACTAGAACCCGGTGTGCCAGCGCCGCAAGGCAGAGGATTAGCCTAGTGAGCCGCGGTGCTGGCCATCTGGAAGCTTTTAAAACCCCCAGTGTCCAGGCTGTACCTCTGAGCAATTACGGTAAAAATTTCTGAGAGTAGGACAGGAGCACTGGTAGTTTTTATTTTTATTTTATTTGAAGGAGAGAGAGAGAAAGTAAGTCTCCCATCTGCTGGTTCATTCCCCAAATGCCCACAACAGCTGGGATTGAGCTAGGCTGATGCCTCCCATGTGGATGGCAGGGCTCCACCTGCTGCCTCCCAAGGTGTGAATTAGCAGGAAGGCAGATCTGGGAGCAAGTAGTCCAGTATGGGATGTGGTGCTCCATGCAGTGTCTTAACTGCTACACCAAATGCCTGCCCCCACTGGTATTTTTCAAAAGCTCCCTGGAGATTATGGTGAGCAGCCAACGGGGCATCCCGTGGTCTGCAGTCGGGCTAGGCCCTTTCCCATCCTAGCACTGGCACCCAGCCATGCAAACCAGAGGCCTAGATGTCACCACAGGCCCAAGCACGGCTATGTCCTCCAGGGCTGCCAACTCCCCTTGTGCCAGGGGTCGCCTTCATGGAGAAGACAGCGTGCCTGGGGCTTCCGGGGCTGTGTGACGCTGTGGCCGTAGAGTCCTGCCACCTTAAGATCCCTCCCTCTGTCTTCTCCCCATCCCATCAGCCTCTGCTTTCCGTCAGCCCTCCCCGTCACTCACAGAGCTGGTTGCTGAACACAGGCCTGGAGCTCCAGCTCAAGGGCAGCTCTGTGCCGGGCCCCGCGTGCTTCCCCTGTGCATCCCTCTCTCTTCCCCCCTGCAGCCGCTTCATGCTCCCAGAACACCTTCCCTGGCAGGCCATAGGAACCGCATAGAAAGCCAGCCCTCCCTCCTCCCAGCCACTTTGACCCACTTCTGCACCAGCTCCCCCCAGGCCCTGACCTGCTGGGCCTGGCATCTAGGCTTTGTTTTCTGTGAATGTCAAGTGGAAACTGGGCTCTGGATGGACTGCTTGTGACCAAGCTAGCAGGCCGCGGGCGGTTGCCTCTCTGGAAACTTGCCCTGCCTCGATTCAGCCCAGGCCCAGGAACAGACCACAGGGCCCCCCCTACAGGAAGAGGACATATGTGATCTCTTACACGCATGTTCCTTGAGGCAAAGGCTGACATGCTTTTGGGTCTCAAATGCATGGCCTGGAGCAGAGGTTCAGCAAATGTTTACTGGGAGGGTGGCTGGCTGGACAGAGGGACAGGTAGGCTGGTAAGGACATGGACAGGAGGATGGAAGGATACTTCCTTTCAGCTTGCCCCCACTCCTGCCTGACCCCTGCCTCCCTAAGGGCGCACCTTCCCTGCCCCCGATTCCTCCCCTCTGAAGGCCAGCCACAAGCTGTAGTGGCCTCTTGGGGATGGACCCAGGAGCAGCGAGAAGGAAGCAGACCAGAATGTCACCCAGCCCGCCACGAGGTGGTGAAGCCCCAGACCCCACAGCCCAGCACTTGACCAACTCCTGACCTCTGCAGGTTACAGGCTCCGCCCACCATCTTTCGCTGGAGGCCAAGAGACTCTGCCTTCCTTGTGCCCCGCTCAGCCCCCAGCTCAGTTCTGGTCCATGGTGAATTTTCAACGAGCATGTGACCACCGGGAGGCCTGGAAGCCTCTCAGACGCGAGACTTCGGGAGGGAGAAGAGATGGCTAGCCATTCTCTGGAACGTACGGCCTCTGCTGGGGTGGTCTGGCATCTGTCTCTTAATTTGGGATAAATGTTCTGGATCAAAGACTCCTATTAAAACACCTCTCAGTGCACTGAGGGAATTTCGCTCAGGGAGTCTCTCTTGACAACAGACAATAAATCAATCACAGCTCACTGAAAAGGCTGAGTTAAAATGGGATCACCCAGGCCACACAAAGAAGGGAACAGGGGACACCTTTTCCCTTGAGGCCCAAACTCACAGACCCTCCTGCAGACCTAGGCTCTGGACTTAGCATGACCGGCTGTCCCAGTTGGCCCAGCAGAGCCCCAGTTACAGACTGCGAGTTCCATGTCTTGGAGAAACCTTCAGGCCCGTGCAAACAGGGACAGCTGGCCACCCTAGGCCCGGGCTCTTCTGCCTTCTCACCAGCAATTTCCCTGCACGGTGCAGGAGCCCCATGTGTGCCACGCCCTGCTTCCGGATCTCTCCCCAGCCGCACTTGATAACCAAGGTCGGAGTCCACGGCAAGTGGCTCCTAGGGGATGCATCTTCAAGACAAAAAATCCCAGGACGGCAAGGGAAGAAAAGCAAATGTACCTGAAGGAGGGAGACATTGGCAAGGCTGAGTCTGAAGAGGTAGTTCCTGCGGAAACAGAAATGGAGATTGTGAGTCGAGCTGCTTCTGCAGGCAGAGCCCCAGGAAGCAGCCTCCTGGCCCAGGCCTCTTGGGGTGCAGGGACCAGGTGCCCACTGTGGAAGGCTTAGGGTGGGCGGGCCCCAGACACAGCTCTGCCTCCATCGCTCAGTGAATGCGCACGCAACCCTGGGCGGGGATACAGGCAACTCCCCTTTTACAGGCAAGCAAAGGGGCTGGGACAATGGCCCAAGCCACAGAGGGAGGGAGTGAAGCGGTTGGGGTTCACACCCAGCCCCAGGGAGTCTCTGCTTCCAGCCCACCCAGTGGCCCAGAGAGGAAGCCCCTGACCCCACACGTTCCAACCATGGAGACTTTCTGTTCACCTGAAGCCTCACAGAGCTCTAGCAAGGACTCGGCCCAGCAGTCTGCTTCCCGGGCCCGCCGCCTGACCTGCTCCCTTCCTCACGCCTTCTCTCCCGGCTCCGTGCCCTGGGTCCTGGAGGCCCATTTGCACTCCCTCCTGCAGCCCGGGACTCTGGTCTGCCGTTTCCATGGCCACCCCACCCCTACCCCCAGACCACTGCATCTCCTTGAGCCCCACTGAATTCCTCTGCCGGCCCACAGTCCTTCTCTCCATAGTCTGACTGTATAGCTGCCACCAGTCCCGTCCATGTGGTCAGCCTGCAGATTGACAATCTCCGACTGTAACAACGACACTGCTGCTAACAACAGTCAGCCACGCATCCAGCACTGGAGGGCTCAGGGTCACGGCATGGATCTGCGGCCCAGGCAGGGAGAGGCCCGGCTCCACCACACGCTTCGGCCCTCCGGAAGCCTTGGTGCAGGCTTGCATACAATGGACAGATGAAGGCCCGTCTGTTTGCTGTCCCAGGACCATGGAGAAAGACACAGTGTGACCTGCACTTCAAGATTTATTAAAGCCAAGCGCATGGAAAGTCTTGGGTTTCCCCAGAGGATGCTTCCATCGTCTGGAGCCCATTCCTCTTGTGGCTCCTGAACTTTTTAGAAACAACGACTTGAGCAAGTCCTGGCTGCTCAGCTGTGCTGCTGAGAAGAGAAATGAGGGGAGAGATGGAGGCGGGGCCAGGGAGAAGCAGAAAGCCGGCACACTTCTCTTCCCAGCTCGGGCTGCTGGCCCAGGCGCCGCTCAGCTTCTCTCCTGTGCTGGGGTTGGGCGAGCCTTGCCTATTGGCCTAGGCTGCAGCGCCCCCAGCCCCAGCCACGGGCAGAGTTCCCCCTGCCCACCCTCCGGGCCTGGGGACAGACACACTCCAGCTTACAGCTCTGCCCCAGCTGTCTGCTCAGGTAACACAGGCGTCTGCTCAGCTTTCAAACGCTAAGGAAAACATTGCTTCACTTCACTCATTTGTATCCCATCCAAAGCCATTCACAACAACAGTGCAGTGGGCTCGTCTGGGAGCTGGGAGATGAGAACAGAGAGAAACCTCTGTAGCCTCACTGGCCCTAACTCCCCTAGGGAACAAGGCAGGGTCACAAACGAGTAACAGAAGCCCTTGCTTGAGTTCCAGAGGCCCAGGGAGTCGGGAAGAGAGAAGATGCCAGGTAGAAGAGAAAGGGCAGGAAAGTGCCCAGAGAAAGGAGTGGAAAAAGCTGCCAAGCACCCTCAGCCATGGCGCTGAGGGGTACAAGGAACCAAGCCCAGGATGGACAGACAGAGCCAGGCTTAAGGACCTAGGAGAGAGATGCCTGGGAGAGGGAGACCCCCAGACTCAGAAAACACAACTGCCATTCACACGAGGGACCAGGAAGAACAGTGTGACCGTGGGCAGTGACCTCACCTCGCTGAGCCTCTATTTCCTGGGCCGTAAAGCGGAGGTGAGTGTAGACTCGCCTCCTGGGGGTCCTTGTGCAGTCGAGATGGTGGCCTGCACGTGTGACTTACTCCCTGGGTGAGATGATCTGTTGCACGTTGATTTATTACACACAGGAGCTGATTTATTAAGCACCTGTATGTGGTACATAAATAGCACCTGGCACATGGCAGGTGCAGAATGAACAGCAGCTCTCAAAAAGCTTGCCCAGGGGGCTGCCACTGTGGCGTAGCAGATAAAGTCACTGCCTGCAGGGCCAGCATCCCATATGGGCGCCGGTTCAAGTGCCGGCTGCTTCACTTCCAATCCAGCTCTCTGCAATGGCCTGGAAAGGCAGTGGAGGATGGCCCAAGTCCTGCATCCATGTGGGAGATCCGGAAGAAGCTCCTGGCTCCTGGCTTCAGATCGGCCAAGCTCCAGCCTTTGTAGCCAATTGGGGAGTGAACCAGTGGATGGAAGTCTTCTCTCTCTCTCTCTCTGCCTCTCTTTCTCTTTCTGTGTAACTCTGACTTTCAAATAAATAAATAAATCTTAAAAAAAAGCTTGCCCGAGATTTTAAGACTTTATTTATTTATTTGAGAGATAGAGTTACAGACAGTGAGAGCGAGAGACAGAGAGAAAAGTCTTCTATCCGCTGGTTTACTCCCCAGATGGCTGCAACGGCCGGAACTGTGACAATCCCCAGCCAGGAGCCAGGAGCTTCCCCAGGTCTCCCACATGCGTGCAGGGGCCCAAGCAACTGGGCCATCTTCTGCTGCTTTCCCAGGCCATAGCAGAGAGCTGGATCAGAAGAGGAGCAGCCGGGACTCGACCTGGCGCCCATATGGGATGCTGGAGCTGCAGGCAGAGGCTTAACCTATTGCACAAAGTGCTGGCCCCACTCATGGGTTTTTAAAAGTACATACGTGGGGCTGGCATTGTAGCACAGCGGAGTAAGCCATCTTACTTACTTGCAATGCCAGCATCCCATATGGGCAGTGGTTCAAATCCTGGCTGCTCCACTTTTTTTTTTTAACTTATTTATTTGCTCCACTTTTAATTCAACTTCCTGCTAATGTGCCTGGAAAGGCAGTGGAAGGTGGCCCAAGTGCTTGGGCCTCTGCCATCCACATGGGAGATCTGGATGGAGTTCCAGACTCCTGGCTTCAACCTGGCCCAGACCTGGACATTGTGGCCATTTGGGGAGTAAACCAGCAGATGAAAGATCTCTTTTTTCTCTGTCTCTCCCTCTCTCTGTAACTCTGCCTTTCAAATAAATAAGCAAATGCTGAGGAATAAAATAACGGATGTATAGCTGGTGAAATTGGAATTAGAATGAAGATTCGTCTCCAAGTCAATTTCCTGATGGCAATGCATCTCTCTGTATTTGATGTTTCTCACAACTGCATGCGAGTCCACAGCCATCTCAGAATACAAAGTAAGACAAGCGCCCTCTTGGCTGGGAAGATGCACGCCTGTCTACCTGCATATGAACAGACTGCTCTGCAGGGAACGCACGGGGAGGCCTCCTGCCTGTGGGAGCGGTGGCCCTGCCTCTCCCTGAATATGCTTTGGTACTTTTTGAATGTTGGACTACATCACACGGGACCGATGCAAAATAATTCATTCTAAAAAGGTAAAAAAGAACAGGAAATGCTTCCAGCCCCAGCTTCACAATGCCCCAGACTTTACAGAAGAGGACACTGAGGCTCAAGGTCAAGGTCAGCTCATCTCGTCCCAGTCTAGTGGTCCACTCATGATGAGCAAGGGAAGGGGGAGAGACAGGAAGGACAGCCCCACGCCAGGGTCGGTCGGCTACCCAGGGCAGCCTGGGAGTGTCCAGCCTCGTGGCTGCTTTCTCCCCAGCCCAGTTGGGCTGCATCAGAACCTCCGGGGGAGAGGGGACTGAAAAGTACCAGTGCCATCAGAAGCAGTAACACGGACGGGCTAGCATGAAGAATTCCAGTCCTGGGCCTTGGTCCCATTCTCTGTTGTCACCTGGCTATGGAATCCTGGGAAGATCACCATCCACCCCCTCCCCGCCCCAGGACACACGCTTCTGCATGGTTAAAATGAGGGCAGTTGGATGAGACCAGCCATTCTCAAACTTGAGCCTGCATCAGAGTCACCCAGGGGACAATGTTACAAAATTGGGAGGGGGCGTTGGGGGCAGCGTTACAGAGCCCACTCAGGATGCCAGCTCCCCAAACCACAGCCTGCATTTGAGTTCTGGCTGCACTTCCAATTCCAGCTTCCTGCTACTGTGCACCCTGGGAAGCAACAGGTGATGGCTCAAGTACCTGGGTCCCTGCCACCCACATGGGAGACCCAAACTGAATTCTAAGCTCCTCGCTTCAGCCTGGCCCAGCCCCAGCTGTTGCAGGCATTTGGGGAGTGAACCAGCAGACGGAAGACCTCTCTCGCTCTCTCTCTTTCTGTGCGGGTCTTTCTGTCTCTTTGCCTCTCAAATGACTAAAAATGCATACATGTAAAAAATTTTAAAAACACAGTTGTGGCTCTCCAGCCCCCCCCTTCTGATTGGAGAGGTTTGGGTAGACCCAAGACCCACGTGGGAATGTGTTCCCAGGAAGCAGACTGAGACTCACAGGGTGTCGCTCTCCTAGCTGCCTTCCCTTCCGGAGCTGACGACTCTGAGGACAGAGCTCCCACTCCACCCCAGAAACTGTCCACACGGCCTTCCTAGAAAGCACTTTCTGTTCAGGTAAGAGGTCCAAGGAGGCCTGTACTGGGCACTCTGGGTGCAGGTGGCCAGCCGGCCAGCAGGGGGCTCCTGGGCACTTTCTCTGCTGGAGCTCCCAGGGAGCTGGCCAATTAGGCAGGTCCTGGCAGCACAGCAGGGACAGGGACAGGAGGTCGCCAGCAGGTGTCCTTGCTTTCAGCACTGACAACCTCAGAGCATGTGGCTGGCAGGGCCCGGGAGGTCTAGGGGTCACCACCACCCAGCCCCCATGCAACTTCCGCACGCTTCCTTTATAAGGTGACAATCACACACACACCCAAGAGTCTGGTGGGAAGGACGGGCCCAGGTCACAGATCTGCCCACTGTGGGCTCATCCCAAACAATATGTCCTCCACCCATGCACCTCCACTCCCTGCCCCAGCGCACAGGCACCTCGTTACCTGGCTCCCACGATGAGCTGGTTCCTGGAGGGGTCCAGAGCGAGCTGGGAGAAATCTCGGGCACCGGGGTAGGTGAAGTTAGAGACCCATGGCTTCAGATCTGGGGGAGGGAGAGGCACCCTTGGGTTACTGTTGGACCAGGCGCTCCCAGCAGCACCAGTACCCCACCAGAGGACAAAAGAGGTGAAAGTAGGGCTGAGGGGGGCCGAGACCTCCAGGGGACCTGGGGGCTACCTGCCCACTTCTGTAAGCAGCCTGCTCAGTGACCTGACGTGGGGGTGGGTGTTGTCGCTGATCTTCCTGTGTCCCCCAGCTCCGAGGAGGCTCGACACTCCCCAGATGCACAAAGACACTCAGCACCACGGCATCGGCAATCCTGTCCCATCTTAGAACTGTCCCCCATCCTCCCCTCACCCCCCACTCTGGAGCCCACTCCCATGCAAGTCAGCATCAAGTCTTGCTTGGACTGGTGCCAACCACCTCCTACCCAAGCTCGCTTCCAATCCTGGTTTCTCCAACCCATTGCCCACAGGGCACCCAGAAGCAATCGTTCTAAAAGGCAAATGTGGTTATGGCGCTCTTGGCTTAGAAAGCACTGAGCTATCCCCAAGAGAAGCACCACCTCCTCGAAGGTCTGTGGGTTTCAGTCCCCAGACCCCCCCATGTCAGAGGCCTGGCACATTCATCATGCGTTAAGCAAATGAAAGAATGATACTTGATTCTTGCCTCCTCCAAGAAGCCTGCCCTGACTGCCGAGAGCCAGGGTTAAGGGCTAGTCGGCTTTACTGACACCACGGCTCCATCATACTTGGGTCTACCCGGATGGTTCACTGGGGTGGGGGTGGAGGGCAGAAAAGCCCTCGCTTCTTGGATCTCCGGACCCAGCCCAGCACCCAGCAGTGTTAGAATGAATGTGAATAATCCTCAATTCTCTTCTTGTACGAGAAGAGTCAGGTTTTCAGACAAGGTTCCATGGAGGTGGCATGGATAGAGGATGATGGCCAGTGTCCAGCCCTGTCTGCAAGGGAGGCTCTTCCCAGCCAAGGCTGACCCCCTTCTAAGGGGTTGGGTGGACAGACAGGAGAGGGAGCAGCCTTCTGCACCAACGGGAGGTGGTCTGGGAGCGTCCAGCTGTACCAGCAAACGCTCTCTCTTTCACATCCACCACAGAGCCGCTTCTCCATCCTGGTCCACAGCCCCTTATAGCTCTCCCTCAGCCCACGGCCCAGGGGTGAGAGCAACTGGCAGCAGTGGGGGGAGCTGTGGTGCAGAGGGACTTGTACACATCTGGGACTAGAGAGGAAAAGGGGAGAGCGAGGAGGCGCTGGGCTTTCTGCCCACAGCGCCTAAGTGGCTGGCACAGACGGCCCGGAGGAGAGCCAGTGTGTGTGTATGTGTGTGTGTGTGTGTGCGTGTGTGTGTGAGCGCGCAATCCAGGGGAAATAAATCATTGCTCATTATCCCTCCACTACAGAGTAAAAGCAGCCCTTCATTTCTGCACGACAGGCAAACACTTAATCGCTCCCTGGAGAACCACGAGGTTTTGCGAGTTGGATGTTTTTCAGAAAACTGTAATGTGCACCATTTAAAAAAGGAGAAATTCTACAGCAAAATGAAGCAAGCCCCTTGGGTCCCCTCTGTCCCCAGCAGGTGACTGGGGGCTGGTGTAGGGGTCATCTAGGCAGAAGCAGTGGGTCTGGAGTCGGTGGGCGGGGCATTTGGCTGACCTCAAGGCCACTCTCAGAAATCATGGTAGGCTATTGTCCTACCTTGGAGCCTCAACCAAGGGTCCTCCTCTTCCAGGATGCCTTCTGGGATTGTAACCTCTCCACCCTGATCTTTTGTTGCATATTCTATCTGCCATTTCCGTTCCATTTGCACTGTATGTTACTGTCACTCTGTGCTCTGTGTTCCATTCGCATTGCATGTACATCACCGTGTTGCAGTCTCACTGTAGCGTGTTCCTGTCACCCTGCAGGCTGTGTGTGCAGCTGCGGGTTGGGCTGCTTGCCTGTCCCCATCAGCCCCCTGCTCCCTAACAATAGCAACAGGTTACTCGTGCCTTCCCCCCTCCCCTTCCAACAGAGATGCTCCTGTGGGCAGCTGGCCGGGGCCAGAGGTGGCATGGCCCGTCTGCAGCAAATTCTCCAAGTGAAGCCAACATAGCCACAGGGAGGCAGAGGCAGGAGGCATGGAAAGTGGGGTCCCTTCCAGATTCAGCGCCTCTCCCCAGCCGCAAAGGGACCCCCAGGGGCAAGCAGGAGGGCCGAGGGGGGAGAGTCGCAGCTGGGCGCAGCGCCGTGATCCTGGGTCACCTCGGGAAGGGAGCCAGCCTCCTCTTCACAAACAGGCAGGGGGGACCGGAGGGAAAGGCTGCCTTTGAAACTCTGAGCACGTTCTGAGCGCCGTGTGCAGCGAGGGCTTTGGACGGCGACTTTAAGAGAAAAATGATATTCTCCATGACGCGCCTGTGATGTTAATTATGGTCAGTTCAATTACCCACTTTGTGGATCAACCACCACTGGCGTTCACTCCGGGCCGGCTTCTCCCCGCTGCCTGGAAAGGGCACAGGCCAGCGAGAAACAGGCAGCCCCTACGGAAAGCTGCAGGACAATGTCTGATCTCACCGGAGACGTGCTGGCTGGTGCGGCGGCTCACAGATCCTGGAGGGCATTTAGGGGTTATTCACCCAACAGCTGGGCAGCCGGGAAGGGCGCCCTCGCAGCCGTCAGCCTGTCACACACCAGATGTCATGGCCAGGGGGTCTTGGAGGCCAGAGGTCCACGCTGCCCTGCCTTGCGGCAGCAGCTTCTAAGGAACAAAGCGCTTCCGGAGCACAGGCCCTACCCAGCAGTGCTCAGCTGAGCTGGGAACGTGCGGAGGCCACAAGGAAACGTTTGTTCACCTCCAAGGTCCCGCAGCGGCCCCGTCCCAGACCTGGTATCAGGCAGGGCTCAGTTAAAAAGCTGGTGCCCAGATAGGAAAAACCCAAAGCTGTCAGCACAGAAAGGTTGGTGCAGGGCTGGGAAGCCAGGCTCACCCAGGTCCCGGCTGAAGAATTGAAAATGGACCCCTGCAACCCAGAGGCACTCAGAAACCCACCTGCCATCTGCCCAGTGCTGACCAGCCTATGGGAGAGGGGGAGAGGAACCCACTCTCCACCCCTCCTGAGCTTGACTCCCATGATCCCTGCCTCAGGATCAGTCAGGCCAGTAGCACCCCGGACAAAGTGCCCTGTGTGAGGAGCTCAGCCCCAGAGTCCCGTTCCTGGTGCTCCCCTTCAGTGACATCCACCCGCACTCCCAAGCCATCAGAAGTCGCAGGGTGTGTGTGCGTTTTGTAGTCTTAGAACGTTGCTAATTTCCTTTAATCCACTTAAGCCTTCAAAGCCTTGGGTCCCTGCTCACACAAGACAGCGCCAAGGACAGCTGCAAACCTTGCTCCCTGTGCGGACTCACCCCCAGCTGGGAGTCTGTGTTCCTGGCAACCCCAGCCCCCACCCTGCAGCCTGCACCTGGCACCTGTGCCACCCCGCCCGCCCTGCGGACCCCACAGCAGCCTTGGATTCCCTGACCGATGTTCCCACTTTGGTTTGTGTCTGGTCCCACACTCTGGCCAAGCGCGTCCTCCTGCACGGGGTGGGGGCTAGAGCCGCTGACTGCTTTGCCAGGGGCACAGAAAGAGCAGCAGGCGGGGAGTCAGGAGAGGCACATGGAGCTGGGCACTGACCAGTCTGTCCACCCTCCGTGCCTCGGTCTCCCTGTTGGAACAAGGAGATGACAGTCCTGGCCCTGCCTCCCTGGTGCAGCCCGGGGTGGGCCCAGTGTTGATGACTTAAGAACCCACAGCCAGCTGCCGCGTGGGCGGTGGACCCCGCAGTGTGAATGTGTGTCCGTGGCTGGGGTGCTCTGGTGTCTGGGTCTTATGTCTTAGCTTATCATCAAACGTATACACGGATTCTAGGAACTCGCACAGACAACGGACGGGCCCCCTGGCAGACGGCCAGTGAGTCCCAGTCCCGGGTTGGGAAGTGCTTTCAGAGGATGCTCTCAGGCCCTCCCTGGACAAGCAGAGGAGTTATTGGTCACCAGGGCCCCTTCTGCTGGGGTTCCCAGGACCCCCCAGCCAGGCCTCCCTGCCACCGACTGAGATCCCGGATGCTCCTCGGGAGTGAGTCATCACCAATCCTCACCCAGAGAAGCCAAGAAACGGAGCCTGGGCTTCCAGAAGAGCTAGAGCTGAGACCACCAACTGATTCTTGGCCACCCCCCACTCCCCGGGATGTCCACACACAGCTTCCTTCTCCAGCAAAGGAATCCGAGAGAGACAGAGAGCGAGAGCGAGAGCAGGAGCGAGCAAGCGAGACAGAGAGAGAGAGAGACGCCGCCCCGCCTTTCCCCAGGTAAACATGGAAGGAGATCCTGAATAAAGACCCCTCCAGCCCACTGCTGCCCTCTCTTCCAGAAACATCTACCCCCGCAGGACGGATCTCAGTATCCCACAGAACACGGGCGTCCAGGCACTCCCACCAGCCAGCCAGATCCTGCGGAAGTCCCCACTAAGGACCCAGGACCCGCGGCTGCAGAAGAGGACCTGGTGGGCACGGCTCTCACCTTCAAAGGCCACGGTGGGGTGCTCCCTCAGGGCGCAGAGCTGCTGCTCACTGCTGGGCTCACCGGAGACGTCCTGGGAGCGGGAGGGATGAGACACCAGCAGGGTGAGGCTGGGCAGCAACAGCGACACGGCCAGGGGTCTGGGGGCCACCATGGTGGGCCCCTCCACAGGCAGGCTGGGGAGAAGACCTGCAATGCAAACATTTGGTCTCACCAAGCACGCTCTCCACCACAGCACGTGGGGCCAGCAGCCCCACAGGATTTTATTTTATAAGCACGTTTTTAAAAATTTATTTACTTGGGACCAGTGTTATGGCAAAGTGGGTTAAGATGCTTTCGATGCTAGCATTCCATACGAACATCAGTTCGAGTCCCAGCTGCTCCACTTCCAATCTGGCTTCTTGCTAATGTGCCTTGGAAGACAGCAGATGATGGCCCAAGTGCTTAGGCCCCTGCTACTGCCTTCAAAGACAAAGATTTAGCTCTAGGCTCCCAGCTGCAGAATGGCCCAGCCCTGCTGCTGTGATGTTTTGGTGAGTAAGCCAGCAGATGGAAGATATTTCTGTCTCTCTGTCTCTCTCTTTTCTCTCTCTTCTCTCTCTCTCAAGATGCAGGCATCCCCAGCAGCAACTTAAGCTGCAGTGCCGGGGCCGATGCTGTGGCGTCGTCAGCCAAGCCTTGCCTGCATTGCTGGCATTCCATATGGACGCTGGTTCAAGTCCCGGCTACTCCTCTTCCAATCCAGCTCTCTGCTATGGCCTGGGAAAGCAGTAGAAGATGGCCCAAGTCCCTGGGCCCCTGCACCCACGTGGGAGACCCGGAAGGATTTCCTAGATCCTGGCTTCAGATCAGCCCAGCTCTGGCCATTGAGGTCATTGCAAAGTGAACCAACAGATGGAAGACCTTTCTCTCAGCCTCTCCATCTCTCTGTAACTCTACCTCTCAAAGAAATAAATACAATCTTAAAAAAAAAAAAAACTACAGTGCCAAATACCCACCGCCCACTGCCCCTCCACAGGATTTTTAAGATAAATTCATATGTATGTACATTACTCAGAGTTTACTCTGCCCCAGTAATGCAGAATTATAGATCATAGCTTGAGAGCTAATTTTCTTTGTAATGGTATTCTGGACAACACTGACACATTATAAAGCCTTTCTATTATGATTCCAAATGGTTCAAAATTAGTTTTGATGATAAAGGTGGAATCTTACAGATTTTAATAAATGAAGCTGGGGCAAGGAGTGGCCATTTGTGAAAAGATAGATTGAGGTCCATAACTCACACCTTATTTATACTAGGAAAAATTCCAAGTGAACAGGAGATTCAAATGTTATGGGTAAAACCACTGAACTACTAGAAGAAAATCTGGCCAGAATCCTTTATACCTTGAAGAGGGAAAACATGACTCAAAATCCAGAAGCCAATGACAAAAAGATTGACAGACTTAGCTTTGTGAAAATCACAAACTTTCAAGTGTCCACTCCCTTCCTAAGAACGTCATGCAGAATCAAAAGGCAAGTGAGAAAGTAAAACACAGTTTTTCAGCTCATATCACAGACACACGACTATGACATTTCTGAGATACTTGTTTACATATTACATTCCTAATGTAGACAGAACTCCTAGGAATCACGAAGAAAAAGACCAACAATCCAGGAGAAAAATGCACAAAAAACAGACATAAAAATAAGGCCTGGAATAGAGAGACAGCTGTTCCCAACCATGATCAGAGCAGACCCAGACACTTGCTATGGCTTGGATGTAGTTTGTCCCCCAAAGACTCATGAGTTGCAGGCCTGGTCCTCCATGTGATGATGTGATGGGACAGGTGATGAAGCCTGTAAGATATGGGGCCAGGTGCCAGTGCTGTGGCATAGCAGCTTAAGCTGCTGCCTGTGACGCTGGCATCTCGTATAAGCAACTGTTGGAGTCCCGGCTGCTCCACTTCCCATCAGGTCCCTGCTAAAGTGTCTAGGAAAGCAGCAGAAGATGGTCCAAGTGCTTGGCCCATGCCACCCATGTGAGAGACCTGGATGGAGTTCCAGGCTCTTGGGTGGGTCCTGGGCCAGTCCTAGCCATTGTGGCCATTTGGGGAGTGAACCAGCAGATATATATGTATCACTCTCTGTACCTCTGCCTTTTAAATAAGTAATAAATGTTTAAAATCAGAGGCAGTGCCTGGTGGGAAGGCCTTGGGTCAGGGAGTGCCCTGGAGGGACGGTGAGGCACCAGTCGCTCTGGCTTCCTGTTGTCCAGACAGGATCCTAGCCAGCATGCTATGACACAGCCAAGAGGGCCCCAGCAGAGCTGACCCGATGGCAGCACCACGCCCTTCAACCCCCAAGGCTGTGACCTTAGGAACTTCTCCTAGAAAATGAGCCTGCCCCAGGTATTTCACTGGAGAATCATCGAGTGGACAGAAATACCTCCTGTCATGTATCGGTGTAGCAAAAACCCGAGTCAGCAGGTGAACCCAGTGACAGTTGTTTTTTTGTTTGTTTGTTTGTTTGTTTTTTGTTTTTTTTTTGACAGGCAGAGTGGACAGTGAGAGAGAGAGACAGAGAGGAAGGTCTTCCATTTTGCTGTTGGTTCACCCTCCAATGGCCACCGCGGCCGGCGCACCGCGCTGATCCGATGGCAGGAGCCAGGTACTTATCCTGGTCTCCCATGGGGTGCAGGGCCCAAGCACTTGGGCCATCCTCCACTGCACTCCCGGGCCACAGCAGAGAGCTGACCTGGAAGAGGGGCAACCGGGACAGAATCCGGTGCCCCGACCGGGACTAGAACTCAGTGTGCCAGCGCCACTAGGTGGAGGATTAGCCTATTGAGCCGCGGCGCCGGCTCCAGCGACAGTTTTTATGGCAGTTTTTATGGCAGAACTACCCACATGTTTACCTCCTGCTCCAGCACCCCAGTTCTAGGAACCAAGACTCAGCTACCGGACGTGTGCCCCACGCACGTGTCAGTTCACACACTGCAGCAACCCTGGTAAGATCAACACAGAAACTTGGGAGTTGGTGTGCAAAACCGTTTACTTGACAGTAATTTTATGTGTACTGAATTGAATAACAAAGTATTGGGGTCTGTATTTTGCATTTTTTCCAATTCCTTTCTCTAGTAATTCACTTTTATTGAATTTTACGTAAGTATCCATCTGTGACAGATTGTAAATGAAAAATCAAAACTGTTCCTCCGCCAGGGCTGAGAGGTGAAAATAGACTACGGAGGCACACGCACATGTGCAAAGTGTCTCGAGTACAAGACCGTCCACTGGGGGCTTCTCTGAAGTAGCAGGATAGGAGATGGCCCAACAGCCAGAAGCAGGACACCGCTTAAATAAACCATGGTGTGACCGCATGGCGGAATACTACGCAGCTCTCGAAAAGAATGAAGATTTTCGGGGCCGGCGCCGCGGCGCAGTAGGCTAATGCTCTGCCTGCAGCGCTGGCATCCCATATGGGCGCCGGTTCTAGTCCCGGCTGCTCTGCTTCCAGTCCAGCTCTCTGCTGTGGCCTGGGATAGCAGCAGAAGATGGCCCAAGTCTTTGGGCCCCTGAGCCCATGTGGGAGACTGGGAAGAAGCTCCAGGCTCCTGGCTTTAGATCTGGGGAGTGAACCAATGGAAGGAAGACCTTTCTCTCTGTCTCTACCTCTCACTGTCTGTAACTCTACCTCTCAAATAAATAAATAAAATCCTTAAAAAAAAAAAAAAAAAGCCGGCGCCGCAGCTCAATAGGCTAATCCTCCACCTAGCGGCGCTGGCACACCGGGTTCTAGTCCCGGTCGGGGCACCGGATTCTGTCCTGGTTGCCCCCCTTCCAGGCCAGCTCTCTGCTGTGGCCCGGGAGTGCAGCGGAGGATGGCCCAAGTGCTTGGGCCCTGCACCCCATGGGAGACCAGGAGAAGCACCTGGCTCCTGCCTTCAGATCAGCGCAGTGCGCCGGCTGCAGTGGCCATTGGAGGGTGAACCAACGGCAAAATGGAAGACCTTCCTCTCTGTCTCCCTCTCTCACTGTCCACTCTGCCTGTCAAAAAAAAAAAATCGTTAAAAAAAAAAAAAGAATGAAGATTTTCTCTTCTGGAAAGGCCAGGCTGAATTAGGTCAGGGCCATCGTTGCCTTGGGGGCAGGGGAAGGGGTCCAGAGGTGACCCGGAGAAGTCGCCCCAAGCTGACTTGGGTGCCTGTGTGCCTCCTGCTTCATCACCAGCCTTTCTCTCTCTTCCCTTCTCATTGCCACTATTTTAATCCAGTGGGATCATTTCCTGGGATAACACTGACCACTGAGTGGCCCGGGGTGGGGGCGGGGGTGTCCCGTAGCACCTGCTGACCCCTCCTCCTCGGCCTCCTGCCACTCCCTGGGCCAGCCTGGCAGGAGACCCTCTGGGAGGGAGGTTGGACCAAACCTTTGTTTCTCACACCAGGAGTTCTTCCTCGGTGCTAGGCTGGACCCTCCTGCTGCCCAGCCCTTGTGCCCACCACCCTCTCTTCGGAACACTGACCCCTGGCCTCTCAGAGACAGCCATGGAGGTGGGGGGGAGGAGGGGAGCAAAGAGCAGGGCTGATCCTGAGCCAGACAGCATGTGGTCAAAGCCCACTGCTCCCCTTAGCAGCGGTGTGTCTCTGGGAAACACTCTTAGCCTCTCTCCACCTCGATCTCCCCACACTGGGAATGATAACCCCAACATCAACCCCTCAGCAGCTGGAAGGACTGCAGGGGTCCCTAGCTTTAACAGCCCCATGACAGTGCCCAGCAGACAGAGAGGGATCCACGGGGGTGAAATACTCTGGCGTCCAGGGGAGGAAGGGCAGGGCCTGGGAGGCTCCTGTGGCCCAACAACACCGTGCTGGGCACCTTATAATTGTCCCTGCAAATCCACTCTTCTGTCCCGCCTGCTCCGTGCTTGTGGCTGCAGGTGCACCATGAGCCTCCCTTCCCTCGGCTTGTGTTTGGCCAACGGAGGGTGGAGGAAGCAGCAGTGAGGGCGCACAGAATGTGTCCCTGAGACAGTGGGAGGTCAGAGCTCCTGTCCCTCTTCTGTCCCTTCAGCACTGAGGTGGGACAGCCCTGGGTCACCAGCCCAGGGTAAGGCTCAGTGAGCCACCCCTAGGGCTCCCCAACCCCCCTCCTTTGTCTTCTTCAGGGTGCCCACACCCTAAGCCCTGGGGTTCTAAGTTAGATGCACAC